GAGGTCGATATAAGACATTTCCCTGTAAGCTGCATTTAGATGCCTTTAGGCACTTCAAAATCCCACTCAGATCTTCTATGGAATCCATATTTTCATTCAATGAAATATATATATTATATATATATATATATATATATTCTTTTTTTTTTCATTCAAGGAGCTTTGTCCTTACAGAAAAGTAAAGTCATTCCCCACTTGATATTGATGAAATGTTTTTATTTATCGTTTGAGTGATTTGATGTTCTGTCTTTGCTATTTGTTCTCTGTAATGGAGGACAGGCAACACTTACCTCCTTGTCAGGAGTCTCCCATGAGAAGTGCATTGGACTGGAATAGTCTTCTCTTGCTGAAGGTGGGTCACTATGCAGTCAAGAACACAGCTGAGCCTGCCTGTATATAATGCCACAGCACTTCAGGAGGAGACAATCCTTTCAAGAATTTTTTTTTAATATATTATCTAAGGAATGAAGCCAGAATATGCCAGATTTCAGGAGAATACTGTATATACAGAATAATATACCCTCTCGAACATTCCATTGATGATCCTAGATCTTCTACATCCATGGCAAGTGTATTAGATTTTTCATGTGTTAAAAAAATAAAATTGAAGCATTTCTTTTTCTTCAGTTGCACTAAATATCATCTATCACTGTGTTTTGCAATGTGCTTCACTCACCTGCTGTGTACTCAATGTACACTTAGAGCAATTTCTTTCTTTAACTTGTTAGTAGAAATAGAGGAAAATCTGTTTTCAGGATGTTAATTGTCTTCATGGGTTTGTAAAGCGCTGAGCTGGCCAGTCTGTTAAAGAGATTGTGCATGCATGTAGAATTAGACTGTTAGCACTTCTTAAGAGAACTTTTTTAAAGCCCTTGGCTGTGGCTCAGGGCTATCTCGGTGTTTCTGTAACTGATGCGTTTGCAATAAGAATAACAGTCTTCAAATCAGTTGCCTACATTTTATTTTATTGTCCCAGTGAAATTGTAAAGGATCTGGTCCTTAGATTTAGGTTTCTATTCCTCACACGGATTGGTGGGAGATGGTCACCGCAGCAGATGTAAGAATCTGGCACTGTGGAACCACTCTCAAGTGGGCAGGAGCAGCTCCATGAAATTCCAGGAGATGAAGTACTCCAAGCACTTGGTTGTAGCAAAGCTGCTTAGAGGCACATCTTAGTTTAGCGCTTTATTTGTTTTTAAGTTTTGGCAATTATATTTAAGCAGAAGTTTACAGATGCTCTATATCTGTGAGGTTTTCTAGCTTTTAAAAGCATCAGGAGTTTCATTCCATCAGAGCAAAACCACATTAATATAATAAATTAAATATCAGCGTTCTTTCATGAATTAAGTAGAAAAAAAACAAACCAAAGCAAAAAACGGCAACTAAAGAACAAAAAAAACCATAAAGGATTCCCAGTTGAAAAGCTCATTAATTGAAACCCATAAGAGCTTACAAGTGATACATAGTGAATCACTTCTTGTAGAGTGATGGTCATTTTTTTTCAGTGTAAGGTCTATTCAACAGAACGTTTGGATACCTGTAAACAGAAAATCAGATCTTGGTGAATGCGGGGAAAAATAAGAGCAAATTTATATGCAGAAATGCTTTCTCTGTACACTTTTAAGGATTAAATGCATTTAGTGTTTTTTTATATAGTCCCAGCATGTTGAATATGTCTTTTTGAGTTTTAAATATAACATTAAATTAATATGGAGTGAAAATCTCCCTGGAAAAAGTTATTTAAATGTGGGTATTTACACAGTATGAGTTGGAAATATTTTGTAACTTAATGTCTTTTAAAGCAAAGAAAAAAATAAATCAGATCATTTATACAGGTTACATTACTGAAAAGATAAACTATATTACCTGTAATTTTTATTTTTTAAAAATCCAGACATTCTTAAAATAATTGAAAGGAATTTCTGCCTTCAGATTTTAGGTATCTTTCATCTGTATTTCTGCATTTTTACATTTAGATATCTAGGTTTCAGCTACTTTTAGCCATCAAAGCTAAACAGTATTTGGGTGAAATATTTGAATTCACTCTTCATAAAGCCTCTGTTATTTTTTAACATCTAAGCGGTATTTTCCTTTCTGGACCCCCCTCTTAATTCCTGTATAATTGTATTCCAATTACAAAAGTAAGTCGAACATCTTTATAAAAGCAAAGCAGGCATTGATCTGGGACTGGTAATAATAGCTTCTAATAAATTAACACACAAATCCTTAGTTTTTTCTTTAGAAGTAATAGGACCAAATATAAAGATCAAATAAAGGCGTTTAAATATAACAGAGATATAACTCAGTTGAATTTGAACCAACAACGAGAAAAAAAACAGGTCAACCACACAAAAAATTCAGATCAAGTTCTCACCTGTGTAGAAGTAAACATGTAATTCTGTATCTAGTGAGTAGAGATATGGGAAGATCTTTCTAAGGCTGAGATGCCTTAGATAGAAGAATAGGATAGATAAGATCGGATAGATAGTATAGATAGGATATTTCTTTGCATAATCTATTGCTGTTTGCAGCCATGAGCCCTGTACAATAAATAAAACTTTTGTTGACTACAAGATACCTGCACAAGATGTATAAATAAAGACGTATATCTGCTGGAAAGTGTTGTCTTAGTATTTAATGTTATGGGCAACAAAACATTAGAGAGTGAGACTATGCTGTGCTGTGAGTTTATTCTGTGCCTTATTCCTCACCTCCTGAAGTGGAGACTTCTTAGGAGAGTTTCTATGGTTGCAGCTCTCAGTCTGGAACGCTGTTCCCACAAGGCCTCTCCTGGGAGCTCTCTGGAGCCTGATTTATTCTGCAGAAGAGGCCATTGAGGAAGGAGGGACATGCAGTATTTTTCTAACACATCATAGGAGGACATTAAGTAACACTGTGCTGCACTTCACTTCCTACAAAAGAATTAAACGGAAGAACCTTTAGAGTTTAGGGGACCTTTATGCTTATAGTTTATGTCTGAAATTCTTGAAAAAGAAAGCTTTAAGGGAAGGTAGAGTCAATTATCAGATAGTAACATTATTTTAGTTTTTATGCATACAAGTTATCATGCCTCCTTTGATAAGTAAAGCCTCAGAATTCAGAACTAAGTTTTCTGAAAGGATTTCATAATTGTGATTTGAGCATTTTAAGTTTTCTGACCTACGTTAGTCATACATTAAAATTTCAAGTATTTTTTCTTATTTTCCTATCTTAAAGTATTTTCCAAATTAATAAAATGTAAATTGTAAAACTACAAGAACATTATTTTGAAAGATTTTGCTGAGAGCAAAATAAATTAATTTAGAAACAAGTGTTCTTTTTATGGGGATTTTAGTGTAGACATGTAAAAGGCAAACTGTGGCCAAACCAGTGACCTTATCTTTTTTGTAAATATAAGTGCATAGGAGAAATATGCTACCCATTATATTGTGTGATAAATGTATTGCTTCATTCTGCAAAGTTTTAATTTTAAACACAGTGGGAATTTCAATTAACCCTTTAAGATAATTGTTAAAAACATAGAAATCCGTGTAATATTGAGGACAAGTGAGTAAGCTGAGATTCTGTTTAACAAACTGTTAGACAAAAATGTTTCTTACCTAGCAGATTAATTTATTACACCTGCTTGTTCTCTATTTTAAAAACATTCATCCAGGTGTTGTTCTTTGGCAAATATTTACCAGGCTCTGTACTGAAAGCTGGATGACCTGAACTTAATTTCCTGAAAATAGCATTCAAAAATGCTTTGTTAAGTTAGCATGTAATGCTAATGATGTAGATGTTGATGATGTAACATAAAGGCAAGAGAAATATCTTAATTGCTTTTGAGGAAAGTCTGTATTTAAATTTTTTTCATCCACTAAAAAATTCTATTTTTATTGGATTATTATTTTTCTACATGAATTAATTCTCTTCCCCGAAGAAGTGCTTTTTCAAGCATAAAATGAAGCATGGATGAAATCCTAGAACAAATTAAATGTGTTCTCTTTCCAGACAGAAATAAATTGTCTCCGTTGATCTCAACTTTTTAATAGGATGATGTAAAATGGTATTAATGACAATATTTAAGAAGAAAATACTAAAGTACTTATATTCACACTGTTCATGGTTCAGGAGAAATCAGCTGAGTAGCCACCTAATGTGGAAGAAGTTCAGATGTTTGACTTCTTTGTTTGGCTGAAGGCTCCCTAGGTGCTATAGCCCTGCTCTGTGGGTGCATAGGACGGCCCTGATGTGATGAATTAAGATCAAACCTCACTGAAGTCTGACACCAATTTAGCAGAGGAATGGCTGTTTCTCCAGAGGAGCCTGATCCATCAGGCATGCTGCAGTCTCATCTGGGTTTCATGAGACAAACCTGCAGCCCCATCAGCTTGACATTGGAGGAAGGAAGGCAGGTCCTGGAACCAGCTGTGTATATTGTAGCAGCTTTCTGGAGAATATGGGATACTGGGGTGGTGGGGCAAGTCCACATCTCCAAGGACTTTAACTGGTAGTGTCTACTTCATACCTCTTCTCTTGCCTCTTTGCCACGTACCTTAAGATACCCAAAGCTCATGGAGAGGAGTTGCCAAGTAAACGTGACTTTGTAGCTGGAAACACACAGCCATGATATTGCATTTTCCTTTCTTAGGTGCTTGCAATAAGCATCATGCCTACATGAAAATAGCATTACACGTGCTGGAAACAGGCAGCTGCTAGAGCATGTTCCTGTGAGATCACAGTATCAAGCTGTCTCCTGCATGGACATGGATGGTTTAGTATTTCTCAATGATGGCATCAATGAATGAACAAGATGTGAGAGATATTTGGCACCTGATCTGTAATGCTCAGTACAGGAGAGCTTACAGAGAAATTTCAGACACATACAGCAGATGTTGTTGTAATACAGAAACACCTATAAAGGCCGAGTCCATTTTGGGTGAGGCTACAACTTTTTCTGGTTTTCTTATTCCTCTGAGATTTTTAGCAAAGTAATGAAATAACACTTCTCATTTCAGTGTTCTGTTTCCTGTGGAAAAGGTCTGAAGTTTCGTGATGTGCATTGTATTAACAGCTTCCAAGCAAAAATAGAAGAAGACAACTGCAAACATTTGAAAAAACCACGAACATACAAAATATGTAGAGCTGGAAGATGTCCTTCATGGAAGGCCAGCAGATGGAAAGAGGTATGTAAAAGCTTCAATAATTATGTTCTCCATGAAAATACAGGACAAGATCATGCTCATGACACACTGATTCAGAGGGAATAATTGTCAGTACACACATTGCAATGAAATTTACAAATTAGCAAGTACTTAATTGTATTTTCTTTTTCTTTCTTTTAAGAGTAATGAAAAATAATGAAAAAAAATGAAAAAATGTCTGTGAAAACTGAAATTATTTGCTAATCTGAATTTTGCACTGAATAGCTACTTAGGACTTCCCTCATCTTACCTTGTAAATTAACAGTAATTTTTTAAAGTTTACTTCTTACCTTCTGCAATGAATTCAGGAGTATCACTATTTGCTGTCTTTTGTTGCTTTGCATATGCCTATAGTGATTGTCCCTCTCATGAATTAAGGTAGGCAGAGATCTCAGCTAGGTACCTAAGATGCAAGTATTTTCTATATTTTTTAAGTGTTTTAATTGTAGTTTTGCATTTTCAACATAAATTTCTTCAGGTATTGTACTCGTATCAAGAGGGCTGTGAAGTATATTTTAAATAATATCCTAAGAAACTTCTAATGACAGCTGTACTCCCTCCTGAGGACTCTCTGGTTTCGCAGTGACACTAACGTTGATCAATTTCAGTGTTCTGTATCCTGCGGAGTGGGGGTCCAGCAAAGGGACGTGTCGTGCCAGGTGGCCGGCCTGGGGCGGGTGAGTGACACCGTGTGTGGCCGCGACCCGCGCCCCGCTGGCACACGGCGCTGCCAGCTGCCCGCCTGCCGCCCCTACCACTGGCTGCCACATGAGTGGGAAAATGTGAGTAAGGTTTTCAACTTGTAGGACTTACTGAGTTATGTAGTAGGGCATAATAAGTGTGGGGGGTTTTCTGTTGTTTTTTTCTTCCCCCCCCATTTGGATGCATTTCTAGTAGCTGTTATGCTGCAGAATAACAAATGATCTTGCTGGAAATTTTGAAGGTCAAGCTTGCAAAACTTAAAAAGTGACAAAAAAAGTCAGACTTTATTTATACTGTCTTTTTATAATCTCTGACGAATTTGCTTGTCTATTGTTGTAGATAAAAACTCTGGTGGAGTTCTGAGTAGGTACTTATTGATAGGACTGTATCTACATACTTCTCACATAGTGCATAAGATGTTTAATAAATCCTTATTATGAAATATCTTTTTAAAAAGCAGCTTTTTAAGAACAGAAATGCAGAAGAAATATCATGTGGAAGTAAACACCTCGGAGGTAAAACCTTTGGACAACAGTGTTTATAAGAAGTTCTTTATGGAAGACTTAAAGCATCTTAAAAACTCGAAGCATCTTTTTCTTGTTAAAGATAAGCAAAATAAATCTCACTATTCTCCTTCTGAAGAGGAAGCAAGATAAGAAAATAAAACTCAGCATTCTCTTGCTAAATATGCTTTCTCATATTTAAGAAAATCTACAGATACCTTCAGGAGAGAGCTATCATTTCTAAAGGTGTCATTACTATTTTCTATATGCTAAAAATTTAAGAACTTTTGTTATTTTTTCAAACATGCAAACATAAAAAGATGGAGAAGAGAGAAAAAAGAAAAATTATGTATAATACCTGAAATGGTGTGCAGAAGAGTCTTTCTCTAACATGAAACAAAAACCATTTTGTGCATTTGTGTCATATTAATAATCTGCCATGCTAAATTTTCTAGGGCAATCTCCCTTGAATATGAAAACCAAAGTCTCAGGGGCACAGTGCTATAGAAGTGACAACTGTTAATACGTAAAACATTGGCTGGTGGTCTGCAAAACCTAGATTATATTAATGCAGTTCAGACATATATTCCTTTGTTAAACTATATTGGGGGAAAGCTGAGAAATACATGTTTCTTTCAAGTGTTCTATTCTCATATGTAGCTCTCAGGAATAAGTGGATGTGGTTCAGAATGCACAAATGTACACTTTCAAAGAATGAGGGTGAATTATCCTTTGCCAGCAAACATTTGTGTAATCCAGCTGAGTGTTTGAAGCTCTCCACTACAAACATATGGTGTTTCAGTACGTTCTCCAGCTATTTCATAACTTCATCTGCACATATATTGCTGTTTTCTTGGAATTCCTGCATTCTGTCCCCTTCTCTCACCACATCCATACACAGCCCTGTATGTGTAGTGTTAATAGTTCAAGTGCTTATTCACCTGCATTCCCCTCCCGGTGCAGGATGGCCTCCACCAAACTTGTAATGTTTTGCCCATACAGCAGAAATATATACAGATCTAACATTTCTCCAGTTTCCAGCCAGTAGACTGGGTGAAGCGTTTTTATCCTAGGGAGAAAATGCCTACAAGGCTAAAATATAAAACACCATGAAAAGAAATCATCTGCCTGTCCCCATTATCTTGTGATTGGATTATTCTTTATATGCCTAATATAAAGAATGCCTCCATGCCATTAAAAGTTAGCTTGGTTCAGGTACCCATAGCTGGGGACATGCTGTTGATATATATTACTTAGCCTGTACCTCTGCTTTTCTGGACTCTGCAGCAAGGTTCTTATCCTGTCCTGGCAGAGCTGTGGTGGCTCACCATTCCACCAGCTTGCCACGGGGAGAGGCCTGAGGACCCTCAGGGAAAAGGCACAGGCTCAACAACTACTGCTGCTCAAAGCTGGCACTGGCACTGACTTGATTAAGAGGCAGTTTTCTCTCCCTCCTCCCTCCTCCCTCTCCCTCCTCCCTTCTCCCTTTCCCTCTCTCTTGTTTTGTTTTCAGGACCAACTTTTTTCTTTCATATTTCACTGAAATCCTTTTCTGTCTCTTTCCTTTTCATATGGTAGGGCTTTTACACTCAACCTATCATCTTTGCGTGACATTTTCATTTTCTCCTCTGTCTCACCCAACAGTTACTGTGTCATTGTTATCATATACCGATTTTTTTTTTCAGCTGATTAGAAGTACCTGAACTTTGAAAACAAAGTAAAAAACTTATTCAGTGAATAATTTAGTCTGACATTGATAGAAGATGTCAAAAGGTATTGGCCTCTGGGTTTTACTGGTGTGTGGCAATCGGTAGGTAACTTCATTCTGTAAATGTCTAGTTAAACTGCGATTGATTTTCTCTCTTCTAGTGCTCAGCATCATCTAGAAGAAGGGAAATATACCGGAAAGTTAAATGTGTGAATGAAAACCAGCTCCAAGTGGATGAAAGTTTCTGTGATCCTGCCACAAAGCCTCAATCATCTAAAACCTGCAGGTTATCTCCCTCTAGATATGTTGTGCTCACAGGAGAACTGTCACAGGTACACTGATTGTACTATTCCCATATCTTTTATATAACTTAACATTTAAGAATGTTATATTGCTGTAAAATGTAGGTTACATGTGTGGAGAAAAAAATAAGTATATTTACGATTGAACATGGCTGTCTAAACTTTCTCCACACTGGCCTTCCAAGTTAGCCAGGATTTATTATAGAGGCTGTTATGAGTCCTCCCTTAACCCCACAGGACCTATGATCACCAACTAGAGGGGAGGTGCCCCTACCACAGGATTCCTTTGCTGGTTCCCAGGAAATTTTTGCAAACGGACCTCACTGAAGTATCCAAAAATCTTTTCCTTGATTTCAGTGAAGTAATTAATCAGTGCTTTAATTCCCTTGCAGATCTGCACTGCCTGTGTGTGCATGTCTGTGCATGTATCACAGCTGAGAGGGAATGACTCTGGAACCTCTGAGAAAAGGGCATACGGGTCTTTGGGGCTCCTTGCACATGTAACAATTGCAGCCTTGATGTTCCAGCCCAAGGTGACACGCCTCCAATGACAGGCTTTTGCCAGAGCAGGGATCAGAGCTGTCTTACCTGCAATGCAGTTCTGCAGAAATACCACAGAAATACTCACAGAAATAATTCTGTGCTTGGGATTTTCTTTCAGTGCTCAGAAAGTTGTGGGTTTGGTTACCAGCAGAGGATCACGTACTGTGTTGGGATCCATTCTGTTCAAAGTCGGCATGTCCATGGCCTTCGGACTGTAGCCTACCGAGAATGCCCAGTGGAGCCATCCCCGTACATTTATAAATGTAATGTCAAAGGATGTTCACAAGCAGCTACGTGGGCAGTGGGGAAGTGGACCAAAGTGAGTACAGATGTGCAAGCTCATTTTTTGTAGGTGCCTCTAACATGAATAAATGCCAAGAATAAGTTGCTGACATAATGATGTTAATTATTTGCTTCTTTCTAAACTAAGTCTTAATGGCTATCTATGTCTAGTGTTCAGCATCTTGTGGAGTGGGGATAAAGCAGAGAACAGTAGAGTGTATGACTGAAAATGGCTTATCTAGTGACTTGTGCCTGCCACATTTAAAACCAGATGCCAGAAAGATCTGCCACGAGAAAGAATGTAAGTGATAGCTGTGATTTTACGCAGTTAATGTTTTCCCAGGTTACTTATATTAAAGATATAAATATATTTGGAGTGCAATTATGCAAAATTAAATCCTAAAACGAAGCTCTGTTCCTGAAATATTAATATGATTTAATCATTCATTTTGAAGGTGAAATTCTTACCACCTGCAAAGATATGCAGATTAAAAAGGGGATTAGAAAGGATGGTGAATATCTACTTAACATTAAGGGAAGGATGATAAAGGTACTGTTAATATTTATGAGTTTTTATGAGTACATATTTTTATGAAATAACACTTTTCTAATAAAGATTTTGCTAAAGAGTTGCATTTTCTTTCCCAGATTTATTGCTCAGGCATGCATTCAGAGAATCCCAAAGAATATTTGACATTGGTAAAAGGTCAAGCAGAAAACTTTTCTGAAGTATATGGATACAGGTACAGAAGTTGTTTTGTAACTTTATGAAGTGCACTTATTCCTTCCAAAATAGAAAATAAAACACTTACTTTTTCTGAGAAATATGAATGGGATTTTTTCTCCTTGATTTTCTGTTTTAAATATCCAGGCATGTGAATACACATACAGAAATGTGGATACTTCCAGCCTGAAATCATGTTAGTTGTACTAAATGATTACAATTTTTTTCTGTCTTGACTTCGGTTGAAATGGCTTTGATCCACATTAGTGTTTCAGTTGAGCCAAGATTCAAAGCTGCCCTTCTTGTTCAGTAAAGGTAGTTTAATATTTTTATGTGGCATATTGCAATACACTTATTTTTCAGCATGATATGATGTTAAGGAAAAATCTCAAAAGGAAGACTAAATATTTGCTATTCTTTAGGTTGCAGAATCCATATGAATGTCCTTTCAATGGAAGCAGAAGGCAAGACTGTGACTGTCAAAATGATTACCTTGCAGCTGGCTTCACGATTTTTAGCAAAATAAGATTTGATGTTGCTTCTATGCAAATTAAAAGTAAGCATTTTATTAGTTTTAGCCAATTTGAGCATTCTATCGAAATTGTATGTGGTCACAATTACCAAATTACTGTTTTGACCCACTTACAGATCCAGCTGTGCCATCCTGGGGCAAACAAAATTTGTTAATTTGTCCCAAGGAGTCAAGTGGTATGAATCCCACAGATTCATATTTAATATGTGAACTACCTTAGTTTTCTAAGGTTTTATTCCCATTATTTTATTTTATTTTAGTCCATGGCTTATTTTTCTTGTGAAAATCTTTGTTTCTATGATGTGCTTAGTCCCTTCTCGGAACTTGGCAGACACCAACTAAATGGACAGGAAATCTTGTGATGCTTTAAGCCCCTGCATGCAGCTGGCAAGTTGGCCCACAACCAGTTCACTGGGTGCAGTGTCCAGGTGCACATCTGTCTTCTTCCTAGCCCACTCATATCTCAGAGAGAAATCTGGACTTGTAGGTTGGACTAGTGGTGCAATAACCAAAATTCAAACCATTGTTTCTCAAATCAAAACACACAACCTTCCCTTCCAAACAAACAGCAAACAAAAACCCCACCCAATGCAAAAGATAAAAAACACCCACCATGTTCACACTTTTCACTGTTTCCACCTGAATTTCAAATGCAGCAGTTTGTGTTGAGTAATTTTCTGTTTTCTAGCCACAGATTTTCTTTTTGCTCAGACTATACTTGGGAGAGCAGTACCATTTGCTACAGCTGGAGATTGCTACAGTGCAGCCAGATGTCCACAGGTATTTATGATTTCTTATTCCCTTGAGATGTTTATATAAGAGGGGGAAAAAAAAGGTGACTTGTTTAGATCCATAGGTTCTACACCAATCTCCTATTCTGGAAGGCCAGTGTACAACAGTAATAGGTATTTTTTTCCTTACTCTCTTCTCTCCTGTTCCACCATCCCTCCCTCATAGTTTCTCCCTCAAATTGTTTACTACATCCTTTCCCTGTAGGCTCCATGTATATGTATACAGCTTTCTGTGTGTTTTACGTATTGCTCTGCCTCCCTCTGGATGTGATGTATCCTTTGTTTCCCCTAAAGCTTTCTCATTTCCTCTACTGACTTTTCTATAATCCCGCATAATTTTTCTTATCTTTTCTCTGTTCCTCTCCTGATGCTTCATGTCTTTGAAGACTACCAGAGGAAATCAATCCATTTTAGCAGTTTACTTTAAAATTTTTGCATGCATTGTTGTGTCTACATTAGTGTTCTAGTTGTATTGGGTGGTGCTTTTTAGATTAATCTCTATATTGTCCCAGTTTGCTGCTTGTTGTTTCACATCACAGAGTAATTTTAAAAGACATGAACCCTTTAAAAAAGGGTTTTTTAAAAAAAAAAAAAAAAAAAACGTTTAAAAGACAGGATCCCTTCTGGATGAAGCTAAAGCCAACAATGAGCTTCAGAGAAAGGATCTTAATATACTCTAATGCTATTGAGGATTCAGTCCATGGGCTAGGGGAGAGTTAGTCCAAAATAAACCCCTGACTTGTGCACTGTCTAAAGATGTTGGGCTCTCTGGGCCAATTTTTACTTCACAGATCTGCTTATACTGCATTGTCCTTCTTGATGATGCAGATGTAGCCCCAGTCTGAACTAGTCAACCTTTGGAGCCCATTGGCAGAAACAGGACTCTTTAGAAAACACTTCAGCTATCTTACTATATTAGACCATTTAGGATGAGGTCAAATGGCCTCTGGAAGTGAATTCTTTTCCCTGATTATAAAGGAGTTAAGACTGGCTGGCTCACACTTGCTTGGAAGTAAATCCTTGCTGTCCATCTCTCCTGGTTGCCTAAACTTAAGACCAGCTGGTGGATCCAGCCAAGGGCAGCTAGTGACAATTGATGTACAATTTATGTACAAATGACGTGCCTAGGTTTGGCAGACTTAAACCCCTGACAGAAAAACAGTCGGAGTTCATTACAGTATTGGATGCCTTCAACCTGCAAATCCTTTGGGGGCAGTATGATACAAATCTGTTTGTGAGGTGTAGCTTCTGCTGGGGGGTCATTCTGCTGACATGGCTTGGCACTGACACATTTGCATTTATAAGGTCTGACTGAAGCTAACACTTTTGATGCAGTCAAAAGGCTTCCATTCCTGTCCTTTTAGTCCTTGAAATCTGTTCCTGACCTTGCATATGCTGCATGATATGTCAGACAGCTCTTGAGCTGTCATTGTAATTGTAATAGTATTTCTCATTCATTTTTGCAAAATGATATCGCTTAGAAAGAAGTTACTCTGGGACTGTTAATTGTGGAAATCATTCCACACCATTTGTATGAATTTCCTCCTTCATTAAATGGAAATCTTCCACTTTGTGGATGCTTGAAGAACAACGTACCCTATCCATAGGAGTTTTTATGAGCTCATCCAGAGTTTTATGAGTGCTATAAGTGCAGTAAAACTTTACATAGAAGTGCTCTCAAAATAAATCTGCCGTACAACTGAATTTTTGCAAAAGAATTTAAGTGAATCATCATAATAAAAGCGATATACATTTATATATGTATGACATTATTAAGCAATAAAACACAAAAGCTACCATTTGCAATAAAAAATTACTAGGTCTGAATACAGAAATCCAGGCTTTCAGTGAATAATGCGGAGGTGTGCAGCTTTCTGATTGTAGTGCTGCCTGAACTAATCATTAGGCTCCTTGTGGAGGTAGTACCTCTTTTTAGCATATTGCACTTCTCTGTGAATGCAATTTAATAATTTTCTGTATCCCAGTTTGTTTACCAAGGTAGGGCAATTTGTTACTTTTAATATATTTCCTATTCTCATAGGAACTGACTGAAGCTAGTTATTAGTCTGTATTTGTGTAGGCAAATGTTTTAGAATCAATAGCTTCTATATCTGTTGTGAATGGTTTGTGTTGCAAAACATTCCACTTAAAAATATAGTTATTTATTTTAACATCCACTTGTGTTCTTGTTCAGTTGTGTTATTTGTTATACTGAAAAAGCAATGGAACATGGTAAGATGATGATGCTTAGACAGTGCAAACATTTGAAAATTAGATGTGCAAGCAGTGATTTGTCTTTACAGACAGCAGTATGTTGTGATAAGTTATTTCCAAAAAAAATCAGAAACTTAAAAAAAATAGTCTTTCAAGAAAACCAGATTCATTTTTGCCTTTTTCAAGTCTGTACTTTTTGTAAATTAAAATTTCATTTGTAGAAGGGCAAAAATAATTTCAGTCATCTGATGTTAGTTTTGTCTTCATACTCAGATGCTATACATCAACTGATGCACAGCTGGTGCTTCTTGCAGAATAACTTGGTTTTATGTTGTAAATATACATAGAAAGGGTGTAATGCAGCATAACCAGCCTGTATTTTGTACAGACCTATGAGTACATCATGTTCAGACATATCCTAAGCAATATGTGTAAATATGCTAATGTAAAGTCTTTTAGTGTTTTGAACCCTGTTTATCAGCTCTGTATTTCTTTTTTTTTCTTTTCCTATTCCTTGTCTTTTTTTCTTTTTTTTCCCACCTAGGGACAGTTCAGCATTAACTTGGCTGGTACAGGTCTGAGATTATCCAGTACAGTGAGGTGGATTGCTCAGGGCAACTATGCGACTGCTGACATACACAAATCCCACGTGAGTCGATGCTGTTTTCCTTTACCTGCTTTTATGGCTTGGACAAGAGGTACAAGCGTTGACTGTGGTGAAAGCCACAGTGATTTTTGTGAATCAAAAATAGCATTCAAGGTCTCTGACCCATTTAAGTCTTCTTCAGCAATGTTTAATCACACCATCCAGTATCTAACTCAGATCAGCACTACCTGCCTACCCTTCTCTTAATTGATTTTAAGAGGTTATTGTTGTATTAATTGGGATTATTAGAAGTTTTGAAGATGCTTTTAAAAAAACCTCAAACACAACACCCAATCTTCCACATTTTGTTCAAGATCATCCTGCTAAAGGGTGATCCTTTTTGTTTTTACTCCCAGCTTTATTGGTCCGGGAAACAAAAAGACCAGTTAAACAAGAACAGTAAGTGTGCATGGTTTAAAACAACACTGGATGGTAACAAGGCGTGGGAACAAGGTGTAGAGTGGCAATGATAAAGGATCTCTCTGTTCCTGTTTTGCTAATGCTTCTGTGTCTCGATTTAGTGTTTCTAGGTATGATATGTCAAAAGGTCTGTTGTGTGCAAACAAAGCCTTTTGTGCAACTGTGATTTCAATTGCTTTTCTTGGTTGACTCTTCTCTTTGTCTAATTCCCAGGATGGTACTAAAATATATGGAAGATGTGGAGGATTTTGTGGAAAATGTGTTCCTAACACAATTATTGGTCTCCAACTCCAAATACAGTGAGAACTCTGATGTACTAAGAGCCTCAAAGCAGGGATATTTGCCATTTAGGTTCAAATTGTAGGTGCTCTGTATATGTTTATTTTAATTTTTTCATGTCTGTAGTGCTCATTACCGTAACATTCACTAATAAGAATTCCTGTTCTCTTCAGGATTTACTCAAGATTGTATTATCTGTTTGTGGGCTAGCAAGTGCATAAATCACAATCAGAAACCTTCAGGTTTTAAAGGAAAAACATTTATTCAAAGTACAGTACATACTAACAAGTAAATTGCACTAGGATTACTTCCATGGGTAACATTCTAAATTTTGCCATAATTGTAATTCTTTACCTGTAACTTACCAGTATAATTCTTCATGCAGTATTTAGTAAAAATTATACTCTGCTGATCTTTTTGATAGATTGTGCTAAAATATTGAAAGGAAAACTTTGCTGTTATATAAAGACAAAGGTAGTTTCAATACTTCCAATTCTGTGCCGTCTTGTAGGGATTATCTGTCAATAATTTGCAGCAGAAAAGTACATAGCCAAAATGCTTGAGATAGTTTTATAGATCTGTGTGTTTCTCTCAGTGAAAACATTTTCCCCCATCCCTTTCATTATATTCTTTGTGGTGCTCAAATCCTAGCAGTACTACTGAGAAGTGTGGTTTAACCCCTGTAGTCTCTGTAGCACATGTTAAACATCAGGTCTTAGGTTTGCTGTGGTTACAGAAAAAGAAAATAAGGAAACAAATTGCTTCAAAACCTGATTTTAAGTCCCCTCCTCTCATCCAAGTATACTGTGAAAGCAATGTAGTCTGTTTACTGTGGGATCTTGTGTATAATTGCACAAATATGTATTTGCTTAAACACTTTCCATATCCACCTTACTCCTTTACCCTGGCCAATGGCACATTAGTAAAGGCTGTAGTGTGTATCCTTCAAAGTCCAATTCAGCATAATTTTCAATAACCTTAGTGAAAAATCTGGGCAGAGGCAGCATCAAGCCCACAGTGGTTTTGGTGTCCATCTTTGACTAAGTTTGATTTTCAATGTTTGTAAATACAGTTCTAACATCTGCTATTTGAAGAAGAGTTACAAGGTTTAAAAAATGATCTAGCACTTTGATTTGTTGGTTTGTATTACTTTATAGTCCAGAACTGTAGAAATACATGCATATACAGAAAATGTGTTTTAGGGCCAACTCTCAGGTATTCAAAATAAAATTTTCTACCTGCATAATAATGTATATTATTGTACCAGATAACTATAATGTACCTGTGCTTTTTCTGACCATAAGCATTCTGTAAACCAAATATTCATTTTGCATGCCAGTACAATTGGTAGATCAAGTGGCAGCTATATCATATTTTTACCCACAAAGAGTTAGCCATGAATTAGCAATATGTATTAATTAAAAGCAATACTGTACCACAGAAGTGTATGCAACTTCTTTTAAGATAACGCATGTAGGTAATTATTTTGTGATCTCTGCATCAGAAATGTATTTTTGCACTATGTGCCTTATAATAGTTGTAAACATTAATAAGACTATAAAACATTATTTTCCTAGAAGTGTTTACATTTGCAATTAAAATCTTGTAATTTATAAAATATTTATATAATAAATATGCTTGTGTGAATGGTACCAGGGTACTTTTGTTTGGGTTCTTTTTGGTACTAAAGTGCAAAGTACAAAATGTTGCAAAAACATTTCACTTCTTTATGCACAGAATAATTACATTCTTAATACTCCTTTACAGTGGTATACATTGACTTGTACTGGAATACCTGGAGGTTATGGGAATAATTTCTATAGAAGCAAAGCCTGCTTCAGAGGGAAGAACTCCATGTCTGTCTGCTCTTTCCAATTATCCTCCCTCATTTGGCCATATTTTTTGGGGGGCTGCCCTGTAAATTGTTAACCGAAATAATGTAAGAATGTGAAATAATTTTCTTCTCTTTGTGGTAACTCAAGCCTTTATAGCATGGTCCCTTTCCTGCTGCTTTGGCAGAAGGACAACTGCAGTTTGCCTCTATCCCCAAGAGAACTTTTTTCTTTTCCGCTCATTTACAGGCTACAAAGTGTTCAGCTCTGCTCCCACAAAGTCACTCTGAGAATCCACTGCCAAACAAAGTGACTTTTAATGCAGTATTCAATACATCATGTTTTTCTTGGATAATAAAATATATTTTTGAGCAAAAATGTATTTTCTATGCTTCTAACATATCATGTGGTCCAACTTCTGCACAGAACAGCACTATATTTTATTGTAGGTTTTTGCATATTTTCTTTCTTATACCCTTGATTTAGAGTTTCAGTTCTACTAATTATTATGTTCTGACATTTTGTGACTTCCCCGTGTAATAATATATATTGGTTTTGGTTTTGTTTTGGTTTTTTTTGTTTGGTTGTTTTTTTGGTTTTTTTGAGGAAAAAGGGCTTAATCAGTGATTCCAATTTCAACTTTCTAACTTTTAATCCTGAGGGCAATTTAAGAAAAACTTAAGCCTGATGATTAGCTTTGAAGAAATTGGAGACTTGAGGATGCTGACATGTTAGGAGACCATGCAAACAAAAAAGAGGATCATGCTTTGTACTTGCAGTAAGATGTTTCCATGTCCTTTAATTGAAATTGCTCTGAATTTCCATCCCATTGGGCAGCTGAGATGCTTGCCGGAGTGGCAGGGTGCTCCATGGCAGTGCCATGAGCTCCAGCTCCTGGGTCTGCATGTGCTGAGCTGCCCATGGCTGGTCACAGTCACACAGCTCTCCCACTTGGGTTCATGCTTAGGATATTAAATGCTTAACTGCCCTATCACTATTCCATAAAGAAAAAAAAAAAAAGGTAATAGCTAAAGAGGATTGTAACAATGCTTTGTTAGATGGCTTCTAGGATGTTTTCAATCCCATCAATGGCAGCATTACATATTTAGGTGGCAGAACTGCTCTTAACTTGCCTCTCTGTGTGCACACACACATTTAATGCTTATCTGAATATTAAGTGCCAAAAAGGGACTAGATGTGAAGAACCTTGTTTTTCACATTTCTCTAACAAAATGTCACTTTATGTGTCATGTGACAGTACCTGTGACTTCTCTTGATGAATTCATCCTCTAGACATCTTCTACTTGTATTTCCCCAAAGGTTATATGCGGGAGGCAGCAGAGGAGATAGAAACTTTGGCTCTGGGTACACTAAGAGGTCTCTGTTCTAGCAGAGTTCATCCTGGTCTGTTGTGCCACTCTCCCTCTGCAGAGAAGCAGGATGTGCCCAGGTGTTTGATCTGGAACACATGTGTTGTGTTGTACAATCAGTCAATCCTACATTCGTGGGCAGAGCTATGCCTGAGTGATTTCAGCAAATGTATGTGTCTGTGCAGGTTTCTGATGGACAATCACACGTTTTCTTATCTAACTGAAAGGCTATAATATCCAATACATACTTGACAAGATGAAGGTTTGGGGTTTTCTTCCCCTGCTGTAACCTGGAATATGTTCAGTGTAACTTCTGTGTTTTGTTGGCTATTTGAAATGAAAGTTATATGTAGCAGGGAAGGGGGTTTGTGTCTTTGCATTTTTATTGGAGTAAAACATGAGATTCCTGGGAAATTCAGAATATGAATAGAATATTACTGTCTTGCAAGTGCTTTCTACCTCTTGCAAATCTTTACATAAGATTAGGAAGGAGTATATGGGGTTGTTTTTATAGTTTCCATAAAGAAACAAATAGATATATGAAACTGTCAAAACTGAACTTGAATTATAATTGGATAAAAAATATGCTGCAATAATTTTAACTTAAAAATATGAAGGAAAACTATTTACAAAAATAACTTTGAAGGAAGATAAACAAATATTTAAATAAGGAACATTAAAATGAGCATCATATATAAACATCACAGCTGAGATTTCAAAGTAATCCGTGTTGGCAGTTAATCCATGTTGGCCTTATTTATAAATTGAAATAATTTCCTACTGCACACCAAAGAAGCTCATCAAAGCATTTTTCAAGAATTAATTTTCATGATATGATAGGCTTCCATATTTCTACTTCTGTGAAATTGAACCATAAAGTACTAAAGGCTGCACTTAAATGCCTTGAACACTTATATGGTATCTTACTTGATGCAGGTAAAGTATGACTGGAGGTCACCATGGCAGAACCAAAATGAAATAATGACCTCTAAAGCCTAGAAAGTGGCAACTCTGGGGAAGTACTTGTATCCCTGCTTATGGTCTCCCTTGTATGGCATGTTGGCTCTCCTATAGTATCTGACCATCATTGCCTGAGCATTTATGATTTTTCAGGATGGTCTCACTAGCCTTATCATTAAAGCATGGAGGGGGGCCCTCTCTCTTTCTGGTGTACTTTGAAAATAAGCTTTATAGATTAAAGAAAGAAAAGTACTGCTTTTAAAGGGCATTCCTGTTTCACAGTACTGGCTTTCCTTCAGACATAGAAGATCTGTGATAGGGGTAAAGTACCTGAATTTTGTTCAAACAGAAGTATAAACTATCTGACTTGGAGTTGGGTCTGACATTTAATATTGCCATCCACAGAAGATGGTTTGCTTTTGCACAGTTAAGTTTATTCTGCAATAGTATAGCTTGAGAGGCTTTTCTGGACTTTATTTATCCTGGCTTTAAAGAAGCAATCTGTGCTCTGTTTCTGATAAATTTCTCCTTGTGTTCAGTTATGATATATATTTGTTTGAGTTGATTGTATAAAAATACTGTAGCAGCAGAGTAGAGCAAAGATCTAACTGTATTTATGTCTATATTCTGCCTTTAAACATGAACAGCTGTGCATACATTCATCTGTCTCGTGTCTCACTCTGCTGCCATCCAGAACCTTTTCCTTTTCAATAAACAAATGTTTCCCTCTTTAATCTGTGTGTGTGTTTTATCTCTGTTCCAGCAACAAAACTTTCTTGTCCACATATGTTTTTCAAATCTTATTTGCATAATTAAACAAAGCATGCAACATGGAGAATCTGAGCTGTAAATATTAGCGAATGACTCTCTCTGAAGAGATGAAATAAAACAAGCTATTTCTGTCTTGCTCATCATTACTATTTTGTTTTGGAAAGTGAAACCCCTCATTTATGAATACTGAAAGGCTTTTTTAAAATAACTGTATGGCCTTTTTTGCAGTCTGGTTTACAGAAGCAAGAAACATTCAAGGAGAGCTCATGAATTTTCTATTTGCAGAAGACTAGAGTGATTCATAGCAGTAGTATATATTTATGCCT